AATCCACTTTGTGTTTTGGTTTATAGTCATTGTTACACTTTACTGAGACATGTTTGACAATTTCAGGAACTGTTTGAGGATTGCAAAAGAGAACAACATTCAGTATATAGCATTTCCAGCCATATCCTGTGGTGTCAATGGGTAACACAGTATATACCATACCCATTGTGTTGACCAATTTGTTCCAAAACCTAACAAATTATTTTTCACTTTGATTTGTTTTTATATGTTTAATGCTAGTTGCATGTTTCAGATACCCTTACGATGAAGCTGCTACTGTGGCAATTTCTACCATCAAAGAGTTTCAATATGATTTTAAGGAGGTAATGTTAAGTTCTTTACTCTGTTATATCGAATTTATGATGAGGTTTGTCTTTCAATCATTGAGGTTTGTACCTAATATGATTATCTTTCAATAATTGAGGTTTATAAAATATTGAATTAAATTTAAATGTTTATTTCAGGTCCATTTTGTTCTCTTTGCATCTGATATTTGTGAGATTTGGCTGAATAAGTCGGATGAATTGCTGAAAGATTAGTGTAAGATTTGCAACATTTAGACTCTAATTAATTAGAACATTTCAGATGGTCTTTTTTAATGCTATCATTTTCTCTTGAATGTTAGAGAGATTTGCTATTTTATTCTATATAAATGGTGACATCTATCTACGTTCTACAAAAAAGACTTTGTTGTTCACGGTGTGCTTGCTGCTGCTAAAATCATAATGGATGAATGTGTTATTATATTTTCATGGAGTTTATTGATCTCTCATTTTTATAAGACTCTCATCATTGTAGTTATTTTTTAAGTTAATTTGTTGTATTGAATTAATTGAATTACTTGTTTATGTTTTCCCCCTATTTAAGTAGGTTATTTAACTTTTTATAACCTTTTCAAGTAGGTTATTTAGTGTCACACTATATCAATTACTTTTAAGGTTTTTGTATAAGTAATATAGGATTTTAAAATTCCTAATATAAGAAATAGCCTCACATAAAGGGGCATACTGTGTGGATTCTTGCACCTCTTTTTCCTACTTTTGTTAGATACAATAAAGACAATAATATTTGTGTAGAACAATGATTAATTTTTTTGTCAAAGTGATGTTTTTGACTTGATATACACTCCATACAAAATACACAGGGCTATCAATTTATGAGGCTGAAAGCTTAATTTTAAGCTTTAAGGTCTAAAAATTAAAAAATAAATAAAGTTAATGGGTTCTTTAAACTGAAACTCCAAAATTATAGTACTCTTTGTTCTAAAATAAGAGTTTTTCTATTCAATGAAATTTTAAAAATATTTTATTTTTTAAATTGTTATTTTAGTTTAGAAAAATACATTTATTTAATTTTTGAAGAAAACGTCTTTAATTTTCAGAAAAGAAATTAAAAAGATAAAAAAAAATAAAAAAAATTGTTTTTTTTGTAATTTAAAAAAAGTAAATATGTTGATTTTTTAATTTAAAAAAACAATTTCATCATAAAAAAATAGTACATCAATGTCATCAAAATATAGTACATAAAAAAAATAGGACAGTCACTACAGTGTGTGTCACTACCGAAGGATCACCACCCATAATCATCATCAAAAAATAGTACATCAATGTCATCAAATTATAGTACATAAAAAAAACAGCACAGTCACTACTGTGTGTGCTTGATAACATCTGCATCCCCTCCTCTGCATATGCCTCTACCACCTCGATCCCACCCGTCCTGGCGCGATGCCTGCGATACATAAGCGCCATCGCTGCCACCGCAATCATGTCATCAATTACATGCCTGTGGTCAGACCCCTCAGGAAAGAAACTAGTGGCAATTCCTGCACACCCCATCTCCACTATCTGACGACAACGAGGTGGGACATCCTGAGTGTGGTCTAATTGAGACTGCTTCTCCTCTAAGCTATCCTGATGAGCTGATCTGGGTGGTGATCCATCGGAAGTGGGCACCATGTAAGGGTGTGAGACAGTTAAGAACCACATGATGTAGCCATCAACACAGCTACAGTCTCTCGACACTCTAGTCGCCCGAGCCTCGTCAGGTACCATGTGCCTCAAGTAGTCGGCATAAATCTCCTTTATCTGCATACAGGTCAAGCCGAGAGAAGCGAATACAACTGAGTATCTGGGAATGGTCTGAGTGTAGTTGAACAACCACATGACGCGCTCGAGCAAATATGGAACAATGATGGTCGAACTGCATGCCAATCATTATGAGAATAGGGAGATGTCGTCAAACAGGCACGTTATACAATGATCAGTATAAACACCGTACCCGATGTCCTTAGCAACCAGGCGATCGAGATAGACTCTGTAAGGGTCGACCACCTGGTTCCCCACTCGACGATCATGGGAAAGTGTTGAAATATCCAAGTCTAAAATGAAAATAAAAAACATTAGGATCAAGCATTATCATGAATATAGAATGAAAAGAAATGAAAAAAAGTCGATGGATATAAGATTGTTACCACAAGTAGTGTCACGCTCCCTGCCACAATCCTGGTCTTCCACATGTATCCGTCTCCCAGCCTCGAATACGTGTAAGCCAGGTAGCCACCCCCAGTTGTACTCATGGATCTGTGTGGAATCCAAAAAGTACCTCAGGTAAGTGACATCTGTATATATGAAGGAAGTGTCCACAAACAACTGAGTGCCGACTAAAAATAGAAAATAACATCTCAGCACACGCTGCCTATGTATCTCAACCTCAGCTAGATCACCATCTGTCTGGTGTGCAGTGCGAGCGCCTCACTAAATCTACGCGTGAGAAAGGAGAACCTTACATGAGCCCCTATACTCTTATCCATCTCCTCAAGCGCATCTAGTGGATCAGCCTCAAACTCCTCGACCAACATCTCTCTTGCATCCTCCTTCATCATCCTACCGTGACGGAGGAGGGTACCCCTTATTAGTATATGTGGCAGACAGGAGATGTCGTCCAGTGTGATTGTGAGCTCGTCGTGCGGTAGATGGAAGGAGAACGTCTCAGGGTGCCATCTCTCTGCAAAGCCCATCAGCATTCCGTTGTGGATTAGGCTGTAACCGATCTCACAAAGGTCCTTCAAACCAGAGGCGGTAAGGACATCCTGGAACCGAGCCTCATGTGGCTGCTCCAAAGATAATATCTTCTGCCCATGGTTATAGAACTTCTGCGGCTGACGAGTCTGAACATTTCTATAAATAAAAAACAATGTTAATAAGAAATAATGGTACAAGTTATAAATTTCCAATGAAAAAAAAGAAACAATCTGAATAATGTTACCTCTCCATCCCAGACATGTCTGGAAGTATGATCAGCGTACCCTGTCAGCAAGGACATATCTGAGGGACCCCCTAGAAAACCCTCAAGCTCATCATCATCGTCGTCACCAACATCCTCTGGTGGTGGGTCATCACCCTCTAGAGGTGGCACCAGATCATCGGCAGGAAGAGGACCAGGAGTATCCCGACGAGGCATGTGGGAGGACGGGGTCTGTGATGAACCCTCAGCTGAATCCTGACACCTCCGGGATGAAAAAGTGGATGATGGGGTAGGGTACGAGGTCGAGGGAATGTCCTGGGCATGTGATAAAGAAAGATGTTGTAAGTACAGAATATGCCTAAGAGGGGGGTGAATTAGGCTTTTAGGGACTTTTTCCGATTTTTCAGTATTCTTGAATTTTACTTGGTTATGATGGTTAGTGATGAAAGCGGTAAATGCAGAAAGTAAAAGGACACAGAGAATTATAATGATTCCCCTCACAATCCGAGAGTACTCCACTCCCCTTTCAACATGAAAGAGAATTTCACTATCAATGTTAGATTTCTACACAAAACAATCCTAACAACCAAGAACAATCCTCTTGGATTTACAATATTTTAAGTCCTACCGAGAATAAATATCTCACACAAGGACCTCTTGTATCCACAATCCGGATCACAAGGAAAACCCTACAAACTTATCTTTTATAATTATAAGAATAAGTTGTACTCAATATGAATTTGAATATAAGTATAATTTGAATGTATATCAATATGAAATATTGATCTTCTTCTTGAAACAAAGATTACTCAAAAATTATACAAGTGTTCTTTTGTGTGAAAGCAAGTTGTAAAAGATGTGAAAGTGTATTTCAATGGCTTCTTTCAAAAATTCTGGTTTTGAACACTTTTGTGAAAATTCAAAAAGTTGAAGAAAGAGTAATTTTGAATTTTTTTCTTGAAGGTTTTTTTGAAATTGAAATTGAAATCAATTTATACTGATCAAAAACCTTTCCAAAAAGGTGTGTTTTTGGGATATCAAAAATAGCCAGTAAGAGATTTTAGAATAATGTGCTCTTTCATGAAAAGCTTCTATTTTTGGCTGTTGTTACAATGTTAATCGGTTAACCATATAGGTTAATCGGTTAACACCTTTCCAACGTGCAAAATATTCAAATTTTTCATGTGTTAATCGGTTAACCTATATGGTTAATCGGTTAACACTGTTAGAAATCCCAAAAATACAATTTTAACTTGTGTTAATCGGTTAACCTATATGGTTAATCGGTTAACACTGAAGGTTTTTCCAAAAACACTTAATTTTAAAATACCAAGAGTATTTTAAAAGAGTTTAAAAAGGTTTTGTGTTAGTGGTGAAGTGAAGTGAGATTAAAGAACACTTGCATACATAATTCTAAGTAAGCAATGTTATACCGTGTCTTGAATCTTCAACACCACTTGAAATTTTGAAAGATTAAACTTTGATCCATAGCGATGTATGCGATCTTGCGATGTTCTTGATAATTTATTCTTGTTGATATGTTTGCACCTCTTGCTTTTTGTGGAGAGATTAAGATAGAGAAACTTCTGATTTTATCTTCAGTGTATATACCCCCACGGGTATATAGTGTAAGCAGCTTCAATAAGCATATACCCCCACGGGTATATAGAGAAAGTATCTTGCTTGCCAAACTTGTATGAGTTGTCTTCATCAAAACATAGACGGCTTTGAATCTTGATTCCACAATCTCCCCCTTTTTGATGATGACAACCATTTCTTTGAAAAATAGCTTTTATACTTGGTTCGTAGCATTTCTCCCCCTAAGTTGAATCTCCCCCTAAATACAAGAGAGGTAACACTTTTGCTACAAGGAAAATGTTAGAACCACACTCCTTCTCCCCCTTTGTCATTAGCAAAAAGGAAGAGGGACATGAAAGAAAAATAGCACACAAGCATGCAACAATAATCATACATGATTCACACATAAACCATTTAACACACATTTTACTAAAATTTTAATTAATTTTTCGTTTCTGATTTTTGAAAATTTTAACACATAAAAAAAACTGAATCAGAATTGAAAAACTAACAGTGTTAATCGGTTAACCTATATGGTTAATCGGTTAACACACGCGAATTTTAGAAAAATGCTTAGAAAACAGAATGCAAACATGTTGGAAAAACATACATTATGCAAACATTAACAGAGAAAAGGTTAGATGTCACCTTCATCAAGAATCCCAAGTTCTCTCCGAATTTTGAAGAACGGTTCTTTCGCCAATGGTTTGGTAAA